TTTATTTATTTTCTTGTTTTTGGGCAAAGGGGACGCGCGTAGTATGTCGTTCCGGTGCAAGAGGTTAAAGATATACACAAAAAGCGAGACAAAAGAAATAAGAGAACGCGTACTGAATAATGAGGAAACATATAAGCAGCTTCTTAAATTGTATGAAGGACGAGTAAATGTATGGTAATTCTTATTGGCTTATTATAACGTTGAAATTAAACCGCAATGTGTTTGCATCCGGACTGCTTCCAAAGCAGACGATTGCTAGACGCTTACGTCGGACATAGACGCAACATTTGGGAACGGCTTATGGGAAAACAAAAGCGTTATTTTCTGTTGCGTCAGTATACAGGGTGTAATAATTATGTTAACGCTCGGTAAAGAGGTGATTCCTGAGGTAATTCGAAGTAAATTTTTCCTTAGCGAAATTGCAATCCGCGGCTTCGTTCACGAGTTATTAACGAAGAACACTGACCAATGAGAGACGAGATCGGCTGACGCAAAGCGGCCGGGCCAGCGAGCGGGCGGAACCCAGTTCTGCTCATTGGCTCGACCGCCTCCTGTCGACTGATCTCTCTTCTCATTGGTCTCTGTTGTTTTGTTAATAACTCGTAAACGAAGCCGCGGATTGCAATTTCGCTAAGGAAGAATTTACTTCAAATGACCTCAGGAATCACCCTCTCTCCGGGCGTTAACATAATTAAGAGGCACCTTGTAAATAAGTCTGACGCATACGTCGCACGCGTATAGAAAATTCCGCCTTCGGAAACATAATGAGGACAAATGAAATTCTACGCAAGCATTCGCAGTCTAACCGGTATCATTATACGTTGATCGCATCAAGCACTTGCCAACACCCGAAGACAACGTTTTTTCCCCCGGCCAGGTTCATTTCCGACTATGCAAATCTTTCAAGTTCCAGTTTTCAAACTTACAAATTCCTAATCCCCGATCTCTATGACGCTAGGTTCCCACTTTTCCTTCTCGCGCGTACGCAAAGCGGAACGTTCGTCTCGGCACGGTGCACCTGTTACCGTTCACGGCTGTTGAAAACTTCAGCGTTCCACCTGTCATCGTTCTCACCGTGAACGTTAATTGGATTAAAACGAAGAAAAAAAGAAAAGAAGGGGGGAACGAGGAGAGAGAACGAAAATAACGGAGAATGGAAGGAACAAAAAGGACACGAGTGCCAGCGATTCGCGAGAACGAAAGATAAAAATGGAAAGCTGACGGAGTTGGTTGTCGCTCACCTTATCGCCATGCTCTTCGCCTTCAAGTGATGCCATCTCTGGTTCATCTCGTCCAGACGTCGTTGCAGCATAACAGCGTCATCCTGGCTGGCCAGAGAGCTCAACAGTTTTCGCCCGGTGCCGTTCAGGGACGCGTAAACGTCTCGGTGTGTTTCGATTTCCGATTGGAGGTCCTGCAACAGAAAACAAATACGCCCGTGAGACTCCCCCGAACTCCGATGGAAAAATACCTCTGCCATCCGCTCGAGACAACTTCCCCATCCTGTCGCCCGCCGAATTTCCCGAAGAAAATCCCAGGACCGGGGCTCGCATTTCCCCGAATCAATAAAATGTAATTTAATCCTTTCGTTACGCCGGCAGTCTTGGTTACACAATGGCCGTGCGGCACGAGCGCGCGGAGGATCAGAGAAATAGGAATACGATAGTTTCTTCGGCAAATAGAACTGTGTAAGAACCTGAAATCGGGGCTATTTGATGCCTGGCTCGGATTAGGATCCCCGAAGTCCCCCGAGACGTAGAAATATCGGAAGTCCCGGAGATTTCGGGAATTCGACACGTGCTTGAAGGGGAGAGGGCCGATATTGCCTAATCCGACGTTCTTACGTTCTTTTCTGATAAGTAATAAATCACTGTAATTGACTCAATGTTGCACTGTAACCGATCTGTAATCCGGTCCGGATATTTGAACAGTTTTTCCTACGGCGGTCGTGTAATACTCTCTTGCTAGAGTTAGATTCAAATTCATGCGGAACACATGATTTAGCTTCCAATCAATGCGGAGTAGAAGGTTTAGATTCAAATCCACATGCGAAACAAATGATTTAGCTTCAAATATTTGTGATATAAGTAATATAGATTCAAATGCTGGCGAAACAAACGAGTTAGCTTCAAATCCATGCGAAACACATGATTTAGCTTGAAATCAATGCGGAGTAGAAGGTTTAGATTCAAATCCATGCGAACCAGATGATTTAGCTTCAAATCAATGCGGAGTAGAAGGTTTAGATTCAAATCCACATGCGAAACAAATGATTTAGCTTCAAATTCTTGTGATATAAGTAATGTAGATTCAAATGCTGGCGAAACAAACGAGTTAGCTTCAAATTCGTGCGGAACACATGGTTTAGCTTCAAATTCATGCGAAACAAATGATTTAGCTTCAAATTCATGCGAAACAAATGATTTAGCTTCAAATTCGTGCGAAACACATGAATTAGGTTCAAATACTTGCGATATAAATGATTTAGATTCAACTGCATGCGAAACAAACGAGTTAGCTTCAAATCCATGCGAAACACATGATTAAGCTTCAAATCCATGCGAAACACATGATTAAGCTTCAAATCCATGCGAAACACATGATTAAGCTTCAAATGCATGCGAAACATGATTTAGGTTAAAATTCATGGGAAACACATGGTTTAGCTTCAAATGCATGCGAAACAAATGATTTAGCTTCAAGTACTAGCGACAATAAATATTGTCAGGCTCCTGTCATTAAGATTTTACCGTATTAAATTAGTTTCATTGAAGCTGGAAATAAAATTTCATTTATCGTTTTATGGCAACAAATTATTTTGAGTTGCAGAATTGCATACTTCTGTCTACGCTTGTTGCATTTCTCTTATCAATTTGTTGGGCACGCGTCAGTATAACGTCTTCATTATAGTTTATAATTAATTACATCGTGTTACACGTAAACTTATAAATGCATACTGTCTGTATGTTCGGTAACCCGTTAGGCGCGCATTTTAAGGACATATAACAAGCTTATTACTTAAAAGAAAGTTATTAAGTTCTTTTGTAATGTGCCACTACTAAGTATAAAATTTGAATAAAACCTAGAAAAATATTTCACTGTTATAATTGTACTGTTATTTGCTTTGTTATTGTATGATTTAGTCTTTCTTGTCGAATGTTTATTCATTGCTGGACTGTTTTTGCACACTTTTGTGCACTTTTGTACATTCTTGTGCACAATAAAAATTGTCGAAGTTAACTGTAAGAATTTCAAATCTGATAAAAATGTCATTCCCCTTCTAGTCATTTTAATAAGTTACACATCGTACAGTGAATTCTCTCCAATTTTCCCTTAACTAGTTAACAAAAATGAAAAATTTGGGAAGAGCAGATACGATTATTCGAGTCTCGCGGCTCGTTTTTATAGTTGTTGACAATTGACAGCTACAAAAACGAGACCCGAGGCTCGAATAATCGTATCTTCCCTTCCGAAATTGTCCACTTTTGTTTACAAGCTGAGGGAAAATTGGAGAGAATTTACTGTATAAAAATATTCTCAAACTCTTCCAATGTGATCACAGTCTTGTATTTGACCCAGTCATTCTTGTCAGAAATGCATAAAATCCGCACTCTTTTTATTACAAACCATTCTCGATCTACATTCCATAAAAACATCTTTATGACAAGACTGTGAATTTTTACGCAATCGTTACATGTGCTAATGTACAAAAAAGCAAGAAAGCATTAACACGTTCCGTGCCACGTGTACCATCCATGGTACACGCTTGCATGTTTACTTAGTGAACTGAACAAATTGTTTACAAGAAATTTAGAACCGAAGAATCAATTTCCACCGCAAGAATGGGCGTTGATAAGTTTTTGTTACGTTGTTATGTGTACGAGAATTAATAATTGCACGTAATACATCAAGTTTTAGTCAAATATCAAAGTGTGAAGATTCGAGTAAAAAAAGCTCGGCACGGAACGTGTTAATAAAGTTGAGAATGTGTAATTTCTGTGTTGGCAAAATCAACGGGTACTGACTGACGGCTATGACTGAACAACCATGAATGCGCGAGAGGAGGAAGTAAAAATGGAATGGCGCGGGCAGGGACAGGCAGAAATGTCTAGAAAGCGACAGAGTTAACACGTGCGAGTATAAAGAAAGTCGAGTTAGAATGTAATCATAGTTGCATCATATTTAATATAGCACTGTTCATTAACGGTCGAAGTATAGAGGGCGAGTCTCGTAACGTGACGACCTCGAATAACTCGTAAAATATTTGTTGTATGAAAAGATGTTTCAGATAGAAGTTGCATGGCTTCCAGGGGGACATATAGTATTGTGATCAGTTTTATGTTACTTTGCTTTTTTATCAAGATGCGAAGGTCACCTTTAATTTTTTGAATGGAATAGTTAATATTTCTTCCCAAATTCGGATAAAGTTTAAGATTCTACATTAAAAAGTATAGAAAAGTATTACGCATCAACTACGTGTGCAATAAATAATACAATAAAAATCAAAGAAACGTAGATTTCTGCCAACAAAATTTTAATAAATAAAAGATAATAATACTTTATTATGTACTTATAATAATACTTATAATACTTGTAATAATACTTATAATAATAATACTTATTCTCAAATCATAATCTGTACAAATAGTCTAAGAAAACGTGGATCGAAAAGTTTCTTATAAATTGATGTAGGTTGTCAAAAAATCTCAAAAATGAATTGTCTCGTTTTTATAGTTGTTGATAGAGACAATCGGTAACTATAAGAACGAGCCGCGAGGCTGGAATAACCGTGCCTCCTCTTCCCAAATTGCCCATTTTCGTGCGCGATTTGAGCGCGAATTGGGAAGAAATTACTGTAACCCACTTTATCGGTCTGTCGGTCTTATCGGTCTACCGTAGAACGACAATTAGTACTGACATCTCGATGAATAACGACTACAAGTTGACATTAGAGGCAAAAGGGATCGATCCTTTATTGAATTTTTCTCTCGGAGGCAACATATTTTCCGCGTAGAATTACAAGAATTTATGCATCGAACGCCCAGAATTTTCTCTATGGAGAACATTCGCGGCGTTTCGTCATCGCGATGACGTGAATTGCGGCGAACGCTTGGGCAGAAGTGATTTATGCTCAGTTC